GGGAAAACACGCAAATTGTTAAGCTGCTTGTAAGCCGCAATGCAAATGCGGCTTTAATCAATTAAAAAATTTTCCCCAGGCAAAAAGTTGCCATGTGTGTGTCCGTGTGTGTGTTTGTGTGTGTGTGTGAGTTTGGGTGGGTGTTGGCAAAAACAAAGCAATTCAAATACAAAATGGGGTTTGGGAATGAGCAACTTTTGCGGCCTGCATCCCCGTCTTGCCTTAACTGTCAAGGCTTTTGCCAAAAATTTCAACTTTCTGCCCCCGGCTCTCTTTTTTGTTGTTGTTCTTCTTCTAGTTGTTGTTGTTGTCTCTGCGGTCCTTTGGCTTGACTTGACTTTTGGTTTTTCCCTGAGCTTTGCTGAATCCTTCGCTGGCTTTGTTTGTCCCTGCCTAATGTTGCTCATCATCGCATTGTTGTTGTTGTTGTTGCTGCTGCTGCTGCTGCGCTGAGTCTTATTTATGCGACATTGTTGCCGTTGCGTTGCTGTTTGTTGCCACCGCTATATGCAAAGATAATAAGATAAATGTTCTCCAAGGACTGGCCGACAACGTCGTTGCTTATGCGAGCAGGACATTTGCACAAATGTTTTGTGATAATAAATATTACTCAGTGCCCCATCACCGGGACTGCTCCTCAGTTCTTCGTTCTCCGTTCCCCGTTCTCTGTTCGCAATCCCTCGTCTTTCGTCCTTTGGTCCTTTGGTCCTGGGTCGTGGGGCCAATGTTTAGGGACTGGCTTGCGGTTGTTCAGAAAACGGCAACAAAAGAGCTGCGAGCTTGCGGGGGAATAGCTGATATTTCGAAAAATGTTGCATTTATTTTCGTATCTCGTCTGCGGTGCGGTCACGGATCCTGCTCATATTTTATAAATGCCCTTCATTCGGTAATTGAAATTTACTCACAAATTATATGTGGCAGCTTTGGCCTTGTCTAATTTAAACAAGACACCGAATTCGCCACGAAAAATGTAAGCAAAAATATAAGCGAAATTAAGTCGTGAACTTATATAACACATTAAATTAAGTTTCATTTTGATTTCAGAGTATAATATTTAATAAATTCCTTTTTGTTTTATTTTACAACTTCTTCTCATTCATGCAACTACTTTCGTCAAAATTTTTTTCTTTTTTACCACAGCACCACTCCAGCCTAATCTAACTAAACTTTTAACTTATCATTTTGTAGTTTGCAACAATTTGTGTTTTAGTTTGAGAGAAGGAAATCAAATTAAACAGACATTTTTGCTGAGCAGGAGCAAAGGGAGGGGGTCTACGTGAAACTTATTTTCTAATGAATTTATAAAAATGTTTCGGAACATTTGGGAGCACTTCGTTGGGGCCATAGAAGCGAGAAATAAATTTGCATAATTGACATGGGCCGAGCTTTTGGTCAAACTGCAGAGCAAAATTATATTTACATGAGCTTGATTTAACATATTTTAAGTAGAAAGGAAACTTAAAGTGAAGATTATCAAGCGTAGGACTTTTTTTAATCCGTTTAAATTAACAAATTGTGTAAGCCGAATGTATTTTTTAGAGCCAAGAAACAATAAAAAAAAAAACACAATAAAAAAAAGACATTTCGTATTGAAGTTGAATAATTTTTTTTTTTTAAATTAATGCTGAATATGTTGTTTTAGGCCTGTTTTACAGGTCATATACAAACCGAAATTGATTAACAAAATGAAGTAGAGTGAAAGGATCATAAAATGAAATTCGCCAACATAAACAGGAGGAAATAAGTGGGCCGAAATGGGTCATAAAACCAATTGGTCAACCCCCCGTTCCAGCTGCCAATGGAGTGCAAAATACACCCGAAAGACAGGCGGCTGGATGAAAAATTTATGCCTCACGTGATGGTCGCCAACCGGAGACAGAAAACACAAACCAACTGCGAAAGGGAAATGAAAAACCGTAATCATTTAAATGAAACTCAGAGGAGGAAAAGCCCCGGCAAGGAACCTCTGATTATCTGAGGAACTGAGGAAGTGGCTGTGGCCGTGTCAGTGGCACCATCAGTTTAACTCGGACAATGAAACCAAGCGAGTGAAAAATTACAATTGTCACAACAGCAAATCGGTTTTTCATTGCCCCTCGTCGCGCGAGACTTTTCACGGCGCATTGAAGTTGATATGAAAATAATTGCATGAAAATTCGCGCCAACGGGAGATCTATATCTCAACGTTGTCCACCTCCTCTCCCTCTCCCTCTCCCTCTGTCACTTGGAAAATCATTAATCTTTGGCGAGATCTTGGCGCATTACGTATACGACGCGTTGGCCACCGTCGAGTTTAATGAGTTAATTTTCAATTCCATTGGCACGGCAAACGGGGCGAAAAGGGGGAATATGCAAATTTTACACCGCCTGGCATCTTGCAGTCCATCTTTCTCTCTCTTTCCAACCACCCAATCCACCCCATTCATTAGCCATTAGAGCACCATTATGCGTTGCATGTTTAATTATGAACCCTTTTGGGTGGGGCAAAAAAGACAGGAAAATGCCGACAGAAGTTGAGGAATTCCATTAGATAACAGCTCTGATGACTTTCAAGTGGCTCACAGGCATTTATGCTCTGGTTTGCCTTCGATTGCCTCATCGAGTATTGATTGCTGGATATTGATGGTGATTGCATCCGTCCAGTGGATCCATTAACGATGCCATTGTAGGCGAGATATCAGAACGGACTTGGTCCGGCTAAGTTTTTAATGCCATTTAATTCCTATGTGTGTGCTTTGATATTTAAATAATCATTTTTTTTATTTAAAGACAAAAAAATCAGCTTATTTTGACTTAAGGAATTTCTTTATATTCTGAACCTTCTGAAAAAAATGTTATTCGATAAAATCTATTATTTAAGTTAAGTCCCATCGACATTTCAGCGGCTCTTAAGCTTCGAACCCAGCATCCAAGTAATTAAAAAATATACGCAAATTACTCGAAACAATGGAAACAACAACGGCAATGGCAATCATAATGATTGCACGAACGTAATGCAATTTAATGGCCAACAAACAGGGGACAGAAGTAAAGGGGCGGGGCGGGCGGGGGAAGGGGGCGTGACCACACTCGGACATCGGCCTCGAGATGAAACAGAAACAGCCAGCAGAGTTTGAAGTGTTGCAGATATTGGTCAAAAGTGCTGCCGCCGGATTTCGACAGATACACCTCAACAAAAAAGTACCCTTTCGACAAAAAATATTTTTAAGGAAAACAAAATTACATAATTTACAAAATTCTAAGCGGTATATTTAACAAAAATTCCAAACCAAGCAATAATTTACCATACTTTCAAATTAGGAAAAGCAGTTAAGTTTATTTTTAATGTTCTTTATTCACTTCTACATATTATTAGGTCTTATTTCTGGTAGGTATGCGTACACATGGAGACCATAAATATTTTAAGTGTCGAGGTAGAAGGGACACCGAAGTGGACGACAAAAGCCACACGAGAGATAAACGCCCACATGAGCAGTTATCACGCAGGACACAAAAGAGGTGGTCGCAGGGGGGAGGGGGAGGTGGGTGGTGGGGCTGATGAACTGACGGACGGACGGCGACAAAGTGCGTTCACATAATAATAATGGAAATAATTTAACTTATTGGATTTTAATGGGATTACACATGCGCAACATGGCCAGTGCGGGTATTAAAAGTTGGTCAACTTCTGTAATGGCCCTTGGCCAACTCTCTGGCCCAGCGGAAACGCCAGCCGACCAGCGATGATAACGGTAATGATAATGATGATGCTGATGGCCTCCGGTTTTGGGGGGAGGGGGACGGGAGCGAAAGGAAGAGGAGTGGCAGCTTGGGGCGGGACCACTGAGCGGTCCATTTGATGCTGATTGCTTTGATTGGATCTCGACTGGCTGACTTATCGATTATTTCGACTGCAGTGTGCATTTAAATAATAAATATATTTACGTATTTACGTTCAAAAAACAAAAAAATGTATATAAGATAAAGCAAGAATATTTTTTATGAAATGAAAAACTAAGCTTTACCCTTCTCTCGAAAATATTAAATACTAATGGATTAAGTAAGGCAGGCTTAAAAAGGGTTTAACTATTTACTAAGAGAGGTGTGTTTATGTACCCCAATCAAAAATGAAAATTATCTGCTTACTATATAACCCTTTAAAATTGTTCCCTTTTAAAACTGCATAAATACCGCTGGCTAGGAATGTTTTTGGCATTGCTATTTTCATTTAAAAGCCCCATTGCTCCGGCGTCTGATGTCTGGATGTCTGACCTACTGCCGGCGGGCCTAACTTTAAATGATGTAGTTACATTTACGGTTACAAGTTGGCTGAGCCCAAAAAAAGTTCTCAGTCAGCCAGTCGTCATTTCCATTTCAGGAGAAGCAACAACAACCACCACATGGACCACAACTAACCAACCACATCATTTCCAGGCGCAAACTGCCGGCAGTGAGTTTTCCCGAGTATTCGTCTCCATTTCCATGTCTGAGTGTTATTGCTGCAGACGACTTTGATATGAATACTATTATTTACAGATTTCCATTATTGCTATCTTTATCTCATTTTAACCGGAGATTTTGGGAGAAAAGAAATTCACCAAGAATAATGAAGAAAGCTAGCTTCTGCGATCCGAAGTATATAGTCGTATACCTTTGCTTTCAACAAAAATCTTTTGGTAGCTAGATTTTTCCTATTGTTTATTTCGATCCTTATTACGTCAACGAAAAGTATTTCTCTATATATGACAACTTTCTATAAATTTTCTCACTTTTTTTTAATTAAATTTTTTAAGGATATTTTTTTATATCTATTGTTTTAACGAATTTGCTTAGTGTCGAGCGAAATTCATAAATCGAAGAAAACTTAAAAGCTGGAGAAACGCCACCTTCTATGTTACCTTTAAAAATAACTCTTTATAAAGAATTTTTTCGCTCTAATTGGCTTTGTAAATTGCTTAAAGCTTCCCTAATTCTTTCGGTACACTCTATACTTCGGCTCAATTTTAAAAAGCAGTTATTTGTACTCTGGCAGTGGCAGTTTTCAAATTTATTTAGCAAGATGAAGATCTTAATAATATTGATATTGGCAAGCCTAGGTTACGGTAAGTACATAAGCTTTATATTTATATTTGAATAACATTGACAAAAATATTCCAGTTGTAGGCTGGACAGTAAAAAGAGCCATGCTTGAACAACAAATACAGGATAAAAAAATCAAAGAGGATGCTTAAAGCGAACAAAAACGACTTCAGGAAAAAAAAATTAAGGATAAAAAAAAGAAATGATGATTTATTAAAAGATATGAAGGACCGTCTTAATCGAAAAATAAGGAGTAACATAGACAGATATAAATACCAATCGCAGCCTGATCTCCGCAACTGGATATTCAAGCTAGAACGAGCTATTCTCAAATCAGACTATGCAGACAAAAGAGATATTTTAACGGAATTTGAAATTTTCATCCAACTACAAGAAAAGTTGAATATGCAACTAAGAGCGCTTATAATCGCTCGTGTCAATCTGATACAATTCAGTAGTGGGCACTCAAGTTGTGTGAAATTCTACCGAAAGCAAAAAAGAGCATTGGAGGCGGCATTAGAGCAGTCCAACGATTCAAAAGAGCGTGCCTACCAGGAAAACAGTATCGCATGTACAAAACCAAGGGAAGATAACACCTATAACTATGTTTACTAAATATGAAACAACTCAGCATTTTGGTTTATGGAACATGTAACAATATTAATTAAAGATTGTTCGCAATGAAGGCAAATAAATAGTCTTGTATTTACTTTTTAAATCATATGGGGATAAAATATTTTAATATGCTAGTCTCGCTAGTCTCTTACTTTCTTAACAAATCTGTAGTAACTAGATTTTTTCCTATTATTTATTTTGATCCTTATTACGTTACGTGTATGTCAAATAAATTAATAATAGTCCTGTTTTTAAGGAAATATTTTGTTATACATATCTGTTGTTTTACCGAATTCGCTTAATGTCAAGCGAATTGTATACATCAAAGCTATGAAGAACTTCAAAACTGGAGAAACCCCATCTTCAATGTTACCTTTTAAAATAACACTTCATAAAGAATTTATTTGCTCTAATTGGCTTCGCAACTTGCTTAAAGCTTGCCTAATTCTTTCGGTACACTCTATACTTTGGCTCAGTTTTAAAAAGCAGTTATTTGTACTCTGGCAGTGGCAGTTTTCAAATTTATTTAGCAAGATGAAGATCTTAATAATATTGATATTGGCAAGCCTAGGTTACGGTAAGTACATAAGCTTTATATTTATATTTGAATAACATTGAAAAAAATATTCCAGTTGTAGGCTGGACAGTAAAAAGAGCCATGCTTGAACAACAAATACAGGATAAAAAAATCAAAGAGGATGCTATTAGGGCCGAACAAAAACGGCTTGAGGAACAAAAAATTAAGGATAAAAAAAGAAAAGATGATGCTATTAGGGCCGAACAAAAACGACTTGAGGAACAAAAAATTAAGGATAAAAAAAGAAAAGATGATGCTATTAGAGCCGAACAAAAACGACTTGAGGAACAAAAATTAAGGATAAAAAAAGAAAAGATGATGCTATTAGAGCCGAACAAAAACGACTTGAGGAACAAAAAATTAAGGATAAAAAAAGAAATGATGATTTATTAAAAGATATGAAGGACCGTCTGAATCGAAAAATAAGGAGTAACATAGACAGATATAAATGCCAATCGCAGCCTGATCTCCGCACCTGGATATTCAAGCTAGAACTAGCTATTCTCAAATCAGACTATGAAAACAAAAGTGATAATTTATCGGAATTTGAAAGTTTCATCAAACAACGAGAAAATTTGAATATGCAACTAAGAGCGCTTATAAACGCTCGTGTCTCGCTGATACATCACAGTAGTGGGCACTCAAGTTGTGTGAAATTCTACCGAAAGCAAAAAGAGCATTGGAGGCGGCATTAGAGCAGTCCAACGATTCAAAACAGCGTGCCTACCAAGAAAACAGTAACGGATGTACAATACCAAGGGAAGATAGCACCTATGACTATGTTTACTAAACATGAAACAACTCAGCATTTTGGTTTATGGAACATGTAACAATATTAATTAAAGATTGTTCGCAATGAAGGCAAATAAATAGTCTTGTATTCACTTTTTAAGATATACGGGGATAAAATATTTTAATATGCTAGTCTCGCTAGTCTCTTACTTTCATAACAAATCTGTAGTAACTAGATTTTTTACTATTATTTATTTTGATCCTTATTACGTTAGGTGTATGTCAACTAAATTATTAATAGTCCGGTTTTTAAGGAAATATTTTGTTATACAGTCGAGTCCCGATAATTCGAAATGGCAAGGGGATCACTTTTTTACGAATTAGACGGGAATTCGATTTATCGAGATTTTTTCAAGGGATTTTTTCAAGGGAACAGAATTTTTTACGAATTATCGCGATTTTAGATTTAGCGGGGTACGAATTATTGGGATTCGACTGTATCTGTTGATTTACCGAATTCGCTTAATGTCAAGCGAATTGTATAAATCGAAGCTATGAAGAACTTCAAAACTGGAGAAACCCCATCTTCAATGTTACCTTTTAAAATAACACTTTATAAAGAATTTATTTGCTCTAATTGGCTTCGCAACTTGCTTAAAGCTTCCCTAATTCTTTTAGCATTTATTTGTGTCCCTGGTAGTGGCAGTTGTCATAATTATTTAGCAAGATGAAGATCTTAACAATATTCATATTGACAAGCCCGGGGTTACTGTCATAAGCTTTATTTTCAAAGTTTCACCAAACAACGAGAATATTGGGATATAAAACTAAGATCGCTTATAAGCGCTCGTGACATACTGATAAATCACGATACTAGGCACTCAAGTGGTGTGCAAATTTACCAAAAGCAGCGAAGAACACTGGAGGCGGCATTAAGGGAGTCCAACTATGCAAAAGAGCGTGCCTACCAGGAAAACGGTGACCTATGTTTAAAACCAAAAAGCGAAGAAGATAACACCTATGACTATCTATTCAAAATATGAATTCACTCAGGATTTTGATTTATGGAACACATAACAATATTTATTAAAGATTGTTCGAAATGAAGGCAAAATAATAAAAATAGCATGGTATATGCGGATAAAATATTTAAATTTGCTAGTCTCTCATTTCCAATCGTTTAGCTATACTTTTTTACTAACCGATTTACATATAAACATTTATACAAATGAAGCCAGTTCCAGTGAGCAATTTGATTTAGATTAGCTTTTGACTTCAACCTTTTAGCTCCGGGAGAAACAATTGAAAAGCCAACGCAAGCTAAATGGATAAATTGTGGAGGAGAATAAATACTTGGCCGCTGGAAACTCTAAGTAGTCTTTTCAATCGCATAAGCAATATCAAAATTCCTCTAAAGAGTTCCAAGGCAAGTGAAAAATGCCTTCAATATTATCGAAGGCAGAAAAAATCTCTAAAAAAAAAAGGCCTTTAAATATTCAAAACCAAGAAAACCAATTAATATTTTGCATAAATCAAAAAGGTACCAGTACCTGCCTTTGTTCATATTGATTATAATCAATCTTGTTCCCCACTCCCCCTATTCGCTAATGCTCCTGGCAATTTTTATTGCATCCCCATTTGGCTGACCGCATTTTAGCTTCATTTACAGTTATTTGCTCTTGCCCCACCTGCACACACTTTTACCGCCCAACGCTCACGGCCACGCCCCCCGCAGGCAAAACCGCAAATTCAATTTTGGTTTAGAGCCTACAAACATTTTGCAGCGTGTTTATGTCCGCTGCATTGTTTCGAGTAGTTTTCGCCCCTGGCCCGCTTTTAATGCAATTTATGGGAAGTGTTTGCCCCGGTTTCGGTTGCCATTGACCACAAAACGATCTTTTGTGATACGGCCAACGGACTGAGTGGGTTGAAATAGTGGTCGTGGTCTACAGTTGGATTTTCATTCAAGCATGACCGGTCGCAATCTAACGGCTCTTAGTGGCCAAGTCCACATGATAGTCATCGACCAAACTCAGATGAATTGGCATATTGCTTTTATGTGTCCATATTTCAACTTTCCATATCCTCAAATTTGCGCGCTTTAGTCCAGATTAAGAGCCAACTTTCTAATATTGTGCAAACGCATGTCTGTGCTTCAAGTTTAATTCCAGGTACGCTTAAGAAATTGCCAAATCATAGCGACTCCCACATTAAAAAAAAGGTTGGAGAAGGTATCGACTAGTACATCCAGAAAGATTTTGACAGCATTAAATTAACTTAAAAATGATCGAAAAAATTTGGAAGAATATTAATGTTTTATCTACTTTTTGTCGAATCGAACTAGGCGCGTGTCGTCGCCGACTTCCTCGAGGTCCTGGGAGTCGCGACGGAAGCGATATGTGCCCACATCCTGGTTGGCCGTCTCCGGCAGCTTCACCTTGATGCCCTTGTACTCTGTTTGGGCTTCCCTAACCTCTGGCACTCGTAGAGCCATCTCTGCCTTGTACTCATCATCATTGCCAATGTCCACGTCCTTGACGTTCTTCTGCACGGTGGGATCATCGTCTTCCTGATTCCAGCCATCGATCTCGATGGGCACAATGGGATTGCCGTCCACATCTAGAACAGAGCTGGGTGCTCCTTCAGGCAGAATCTCTACATTGTCTTTGGGAACCGAATCCTCCGCCGGTGGTGAATCAGCCAAATCCGTGCCTACGGTCTGAATTGCCTCCTGGAAATGGGGTATGTCCAGCGCCGGCAGCGAGTTCACGAAATTGCGATTGAACTCCATATCATTCTTGGCCATATCATTTATATTTATATCTATCACGGTCACTCCGTCGATGTTTCTCGGGCGATTAATAGTGAGGCACGTAAACCCGGTGGACATGTTGCAACGCGAGCTCAACCGGGAAACCAGAATCCGCTGTAGCGCCATCTTGTTCCTCAGCATCAACAAGTTTCGAAACATGTTTTCTGTCAATAAACTCTGGTTTGAAAATTAAAGACCTATCTCACCAAAAATTATAAATTGAAATTTGAAAAAATAGCTTTTTACAAACAAAAAATGGAAGGTCTTAACTTGCCGAAATTTTTGATACGACTGAAGTTCACCGCTTGGACGGACAAGCGACAGAGCTCGTCCGGACTAGAAGTCTAACGCAAGGCTAAAATGTTTTGGAAAATGTTCATTTTCATACGGAACGGAATATTTAAATAGTTATGTGTGTCCAAATATATTTAACTTCATTTCCAAAAATAATGTTTTAAAGTGGTGTTGGAAATCAACTTATAATATCGGTGTAGTATATATCTAGTTTTACATTATATTCCAAGTCAAAATAATTATTTTAATATTACTACCTTTTTTTAGGTAGCTTGAGTTTTATAAATACTATTCTAGAAAGTATGAGACTACCTCTTGCCTCGTTTTGCGGCATTTCCGGTTGCCTTTCGCACCTTTCGCTTGCCTGAAGTGGAGGTTTCAGGCTCCTCAAAGGAGTCCTCCTCCTTACCCGTGCGCACCTCCCGATTCACCTTGTAGGCGGCGCCCATTCGCTTGATGTTCTCCTTGTGCACTATTTCGTGTTTAACAATCCGGTGAGGGTAATCTGTTCCCAGGACGCAGCCGTATGCCCGCTGATCGGCAAGCGAGGCCTTCCACGGCTCGTAAATACAGCCAGCTGGGTATTTTGCGAGTTCCGGCACATACTTCCGGATGTAGTGCCCCTGGGGATCCGTTTTCTTGCCAAACGCCACAGGGCTGTAGACGCGAAAGTACTGATGAAAAAAGGCTGACGCCGATAGCCACATCCAGTTGCCCGCATTTAAGGCCCAATCCTGATCAAGCAGCAGCTGTTCGAACACCCGCTGTCCCTCCTCCCAGCTGATCCAGAGATCTCCGCGCGTGAGGAAACAGGCCACAGCATGTCGGGCCAAGTGATGAACCCAGCCCTCCTGCCGCAACTGTCGCATAATGGCATCAATAAAAGGATAACCGGTGCGTCCATAAGTCCAGGCCTTCAGGTGTTCAGGCTGCTCCTGCCACGGAACCTGCAGGCAGTAGACATTGCCCAACATCCTATCGAAGTTTGGCTCAGCAGCTGCCACAGTATAGTAGAATTCCCTCCACATGAGTTGTCCAATAAGTGAAACAGGAGGCTGGGAGTGCTTCGGCTGACGCTTGAGAATCTCCTTGAGTTTCTCATTAAACAATCGGGCACTAAGGCATCCAAATTTCAAGTAAGGGCTCAGAACAGTAGTGCTGGGCTCCAGGGAATTGGGTGCTGTGTTGGGTTTCTCAAAGCGGGCCACCCAGAGCTCATCACTCAAGGAATCCTTCATGCGGCGCAGCGCCTCTGTTTCTCCTGTAAAAGTAATTAAAATAATAGGGCATAGTTTATAATCTAGCATATTCACCTCCTGGAAATTTATTGGGACCCAGCTCCTCAGGCCGCTTGACCAGTTGCTCCAATGTGGGAACGTCATAAGCAGTTGAGTCATCCTGCTCCACTTCATCTTTAGGTGGATCTAACCTCGTCTTAAGCTTCTCCGGTACCCCCAAGACATTGGGCACTTTAAGTTTGTCCACAATGCCTAGAAACTTTTGATAGGTTATAGGAGCCTTGCCGAGATTTTTGGCTATGACCAAGTCCGGGTTGTAAATTGTATGAGAACAATGGGTTTCCACCTTAACACCGTCGACTTTGGCCAACTTCTGCACTGCAGAATCCCTAGATAGGGAATATGGTTCAATATCTGTCTCAAAAGTTAGGAGTTCTACGCGCCAGCTTTTAAAAATCCTGGGAAACACCTCCGCAGGCTTTCCACGCACTACAAACAAGCGGGAATCAAGTTTACGCAGCTGCTTATCCAAATCCTCGAGAGTTTGCTGAAGAAATCTCCAGCGATTGGCCCCAACTTGCATCCAATCGAGGATTCCAGGATCCAGAATGAAAATCGGGCGAACGAAATATTTTCCTGGCGCAGCGTTGGCGGCGGTAAAAATCTGCGATAAGGCGGGATTGTCGTGCACCCGGAGTCCTTTGCGAAACCAATGGACCAGTGTGCGTTGTTTTGCGTCCATTGCAGCACGTGCCTGTGACTTAAAACGGTAATAACTGCAATTTAAAGCTAAATGATTTTTAAACGCAAAAGCGCTTTACGGAACCTGCCAACTTATTTTCATTACTCTTTTACACTGGGCTGCAAAAACTAACATATAATTATACACTGCTCATTAATCGAACTTTAACTTTTTTAACCACTAAATTAAAGTTTATTTACCCCATTTTAAACATATATGGAGTTCTTTGCAATTTAAAAATACTTTTAGTGCTTGGTGACAAAGGTTAAGAAATATAAAATCTGCAAAACACAGCGCTTAGTGTAAACAGCTGTGGTACAATAAAAAATACCGAATTAGCACAAGGTTGACATCCTCTATTTTCGGTATTTTTCGCAGAGCCTATTTGGTGCACAAGCACCGGTTGCCAATATAATTATAATTACTTTTACCCGAATAAAACAAGCAAATCGAAGGCTTTCGAACACCCCAAGTGGCTAATAATAAACGCCAGAGAGTGGTAAGTCCCCCAAAAGTCTGTCCACAAAGAGCGAACAGCCCGTTTAACTGAGATTCCCTCGCATTTCTTTCGATGGCATCGCAGGCGCACATCCGCCAATTGATCAAGAACCAGCGAGGGATACACGGCGGAAAAGCGAGGAAAACACGGCGGGACAATGGACCTGCTTGATTCGATACTCAATGCCATGGATGCACCGCCTGCCAACAACGAGCAGCAAAAGACGCTGATCAAGAAACAGCGCGAAATGATGGAGCGCATGCAAAACAAACAAAAGGAGGAGCTTCTCCGTTTTCGAAAATATGTGGACGAACGGATGGCGCGTTTTGCCAAGGACGACAGACAGTGCATCGAATTCCAGCCGCTGGACAAGGTGCATCGCTCTGTTATCCACGAGATAGCTGAAAATGGCGGTTTTATTGCCATGAGCTTTGGCCGCGAGGATGTGGACCGACATTCAGTTGTGTATAAAAAGGAGCACGCTCCTGGCGAAGATGAGGTCACGGCCAGGCGAAATGGTGACGGCTGGAATGCGGAAATAGCAAAGGAGTATGCGGAACGAAGACGAGAGCGGCTAGCGCAAGAACAAAGCGACAAGGAAGCCTCCACTTCCGAAGCGGCAAACTGCGCATCTTCATCCGCGGCTGGGGATCAGGACACCGGCGAAATTAAACCCACGACCAACTACAAGGCCAAATATGCCCACCTCATTGGAGAGTCGGCCGCACTGCAGGCGGCCCGCAAAACGGAGACCAACCAAAGCTACGGGTTTGTTCCCAGCAAAAACAAGAAGGACATGCGCTCCATCGAACAAACGTTGGCCGACATCCAAGCCAAAAAACGCCTACGACTGGCGCAGCAACAGGAACTTGAGCAGGAACAGGAGCACCAACAGGAGGCAACCACATCCTCAGGGGACCCATGAGTCGGCTGGGACACAATTAGTATACAGATAGCTCACTTAATGCAAGACTGTCGTAACCCAAAATATTTGATTATACTCTATAAGGGCTCCATAAACCCTTGCGCATAAATTCAGAAGCAAGCATCGTTTTCTCGTTTATTAACTGGAGAATTCCACACCGCCACACATGTTACAGATTATACATTTTCGATTACAGTAATTGTATTTAGAAGGAGGAAAAAGATTCAAAACCTTCTCTTGTTTATACCAATCGAATTCTTGTCCCCGGAATCGCCTTATTTTTTGAGTTTATGACAGCCTTGTATTGAGTGAGATTAGTTTTGTTGATTCAGATTAGTCACATGCAAGGTCACCGACTGCCATGTAAATCATAAGTAATAAGCAATTTAATTTGTTGGCCAATTAGGATGCGAGAGTTAGAAGTGTTTAGAACAAGTTATGTATCCGCAAAAGCGTCCGAATCGCAATATCTATTTATATAATAAAAATATAGAAAAAAAACTGACGAATTCAAATTAATCTTGAAAATGCGGCGCCATCACAAGTGGCACTAAAAAATACATAACATTCCACGTTCAGTATTTTATTCCTAATCACTTCACAACACGGTGAGACAGTCACAAGCTGAGGAAGGCCGAAAAACGCTCCACGTGTTTTAGAGCTAGCAGAACAAAATTAAAATAAAAAATGATTTCCAAGAGAAAACTTCGTACAATTCTATCAAATTACAAAGACCAAGCCTTATATGGTAGCTGATAATTAAAACCAAGCTGAGAGATGTTCCCTTTTGGAAATACAACACTTTCGCTGAGCAGCGTGGGAACTTTGACCTAAGGAGTCCCAATTTGAGACTTCTGTGGACCATGTGGCATATTTAAACGGTAAGAACTACATATACTCCTTCGCAAATACATTCGTTAGTTAAACTTGATTTCCTGATGAGACTCTTAGATAGGGACATCTGATGTCTATGACTGATTTATCTTGATAGTAGAACTGATTTTAAAAGAATGTTTAAAATGTATAGTGTTAGTTGAAATTCCACTTATAAAGATATATTTTCGTTTTAGATACAATGTGTGCCTTACCTTACACAGCAACCTCAAAGTTGGTAATTTCTCATAAGTAAGTATAATGAATGATACATTAACAAATGTTTTCTTATGATGAGAACTTGAGATAGGGACATCTGATGTCTATGACTGATTTATCTTAATAGTAGAACTGATTTTTAAAATATTACTTATTAAGTTTGCTGTAACTATGAAGAATACTAATTATGTTATTTTTTAGCAGCCGTAACCTATGATGGAAAGGACTCTTTCATATATGTAAGTATACTTTAAAATAAGGTGAACTCTTTTTTTATGATGAGACCTTAAGATAGGGACATCTGATGTCTATGACTGATTTATCTTGATAGTAGAACTGATTTTAAAAGAATGTTTAAAATGTATAGTGTTAGTTGAAATTCCACTTATAAAGATATATTTTCGTTTTAGATACAATGTGTGCCTTACCTTACACAGCAACCTCAAAGTTGGTAATTTCTCATAAGTAAGTATAATGAATGATACATTAACAAATGTTTTCTTATGATGAGAACTTGAGATAGGGACATCTGATGTCTATGACTGATTTATCTTAATAGTAGAACTGATTTTTAAAATATTACTTATTAAGTTTGCTGTAACTATGAAGAATACTAATTATGTTATTTTTTAGCAGCCGTAACCTATGATGGAAAGGACTCTTTCATATATGTAAGTATACTTTAAAATAAGGTGAACTCTTTTTTTATGATGAGACCTTAAGATAGGGACATCTGATGTCTATGACTGATTTATCTTGATAGTAGAACTGATTTTAAAAGAATGTTTAAAATGTATAGTGTTAGTTGAAATTCCACTTATAAAGATATATTTTCGTTTTAGATACAATGTGTGCCTTACCTTACACAGCAACCTCAAAGTTGGTAATTTCTCATAAGTAAGTATAATGAATGATACATTAACAAATGTTTTCTTATGATGAGAACTTGAGATAGGGACATCTGATGTCTATGACTGATTTATCTTAATAGTAGAACTGATTTTTAAAATATTACTTATTAAGTTTGCTGTAACTATGAAGAATACTAATTATGTTATTTTTTAGCAGCCGTAACCTATGATGGAAAGGACTCTTTCATATATGTAAGTATACTTTAAAATAAGGTGAACTCTTTTTTTATGATGAGACCTTAAGATAGGGACATCTGATGTCTATGACTGATTTATCTTGATAGTAGAACTGATTTTCCACATTTTTTTATTTACTAGTGTCTTAAAAGGCTTATATTCTAACACATGGTTTTCCATTGACTTACAGGGCCCAGCTGAACTATAAGAAATTTGGAGGCGTCTTCACAAATGTAATACAATTTGAAAAAAATAAACAATTAATATAAGAAATCATCGTTGTGTTTTATTGGGAGTTCCAATTGTTTAATAAAGGAATAAAGGCGCAGCGATATAAATAAATAATTAAATTAAATTTCATGAAAATCTGACGACTATAGCATATATCTGTTATCTAGGAACAATTGCTGAAAATATGGGGAAAATAAATAGAAACATCGTTATTACTTCGATGTTGTTTAGACATTTGTGATGGCTGCCACCTTCTCGAGTCAAATCTAGCTTCCTTTCTTGTTTCAATGTCTTCTTCTTTACTGGCTTTTTTCGCAAGTTGGCAGCTCCACCAACAGCTGTTTTTTTTTTTTTTGATAACACTGAAATGTAATAAAGTCGCCGCTAAATGTTTGTTTAGTGTGTTGTTAAACCCGGTCAAGATCGGCAGGCTTTCCAAACATGCAACTCACCAAAACAGATTCGCGACGCCGCCTCAATGCGAGCGGTTCTACACCAGCCACTTCGGAATACATCAAGGTGGTGGAGTCCCAATGCGAGACCGATGGATTCGTCAATGAACAGTGGACAGAGCCAGCGATCCCAGGCCCAGTTCCATGGAAAACCATTGTTATTATCTTACTGCTCTTCATCGGTGGCATAGTGAGTAATATTTATGGTACCCAAACGAACACATCATGTTTAAATCGTTTCCTATTCCCAAGTATTTAAACATTTCTTTGTTTCCAGATCTGCATTGCCTTCGCCACTGTGAACTGTCTGACGGACACGAGCCAGGAGCGATCGGATCGCGTGTGGGCGCTGAGTATCATCGGGGCACTGACCTTTATACCGGGCAGCTACTACGTCTACGTACTCTCGTGCATAATGCTCAACCGGAACGGTTTCACCATGGACGAGATAAGAAGACTGGGCTGAGGAGAGCACAAGCAAAATTCCATGTTTCGTCAAATAGAGTTTATTGCGTTTACACTACAGATATTCACACATTTCATTGGCATAATTTCTTTAGCAACAATCTTATTTTGTAGTTCATAATTATACATGTGTATTGCCCCTATATTTGTATAAAAATATGTTGTAAATACGAGTTTGTTATAAAAATGTATAATGCTTGGCGTGGCTTTTAGTGCGCGGAACATTTGCTATCTATATAAATACACCACGGCTTAACGCTTTTTTAAATATGTATGTTTTACAAGCTGGACTATAGGTTCTTTAGATTTATGTTATGGCAATTTTCTCTATCAAGCTTAGGGTACAGTATTTGCTTTGTGTCTTGAGCTTAAGTATATACAGTATTATGCGTTATATTTTTTGTCTAGATTAGAGTTCTTTACAAACAATTGCTTTTCATGTTTCCGGTTGTAACAGAGCGGGGAATCAAACTATTTAACGGGCGGGGGAAAGTGGATATACACAATACGTACACAAACATAATAACGAAATTAAACTAGCGACAGATAACATTTACTGCTCCACGACGGTAACTTCAATAGGCGGAATGAACTTCCATACATGCGCCTGCTGCTCATCGTAACTGGAGGAGAACATGACCGATTGGCCGTCATTCTCGGTTTCCGCTGGGCAGGAACGGGTTAGCAGTGAAGTTGATATTTCCGGCTGCTTCTGCGGATTACTGGTACACTCGATGCTGGCCTTGAAACGTCCGGGCGTAAAGAATATCACAGAGCAATTGTGCTGTTTTTGCTCCTGCTTTTCCAGTAGGGGAATTGCAATTCTGAAACGGTTAACAAATAAGCTCACCAACCAGCCCGAAATCTAAATACTGCGATACCCTACCTATTTGGCCCTGAAATTGCCACGCGTGTCTCCAAATTGTAATTCTCCATTCCGTTCAGGTAATCCTGATAAAACTTGATGCTTAGCACCAAATTTCTGAGCGGCTGCAGGGATTGATTGGCCAGCTGTATGCTAAGCAGCGAACGCTGGCCCACCGTGCAAACAATCTCACTGTGCGGCTGCACAGGCGTCTCCTGGAAGCTTATGGCTATTGGTAATATATGATAATAATAAGTACGATCGATAAGGATTATCTTAATCATCTTACCCCACTCCAAAGGCGATACAGCCGTCAAATCCACCATCGACTGAGAGAGAACAATCCCCCTCAGAGAGGCGATTCCCTGAATATCCGTACCCGTCAGCAACCAATTGATTTTCACCCGTTCCGCTATGTGAAGTGAGCAGAGTTTGCTCAAGGCATCATTAAACGATAGCAGCTGCGTCCGAAAGCAGAGTTCTAAATGGGGTTAAATTGTCTTAGTTTCATTAACATATATTTAATGCAAATATTCTTACCTCTTTCCAGATTCTCAGCAACCTCGGCTGCCCGGGCAGCAACCACTTGCTCCAGGGAGCAGCGATCCACCGGTATGGGTACCCGGCAGCTTTCTTTGGCCTCTATGAGTATATTCTTAGTATCCGTATAGTTGAGAGACATCTCTTGAGCGGTTAGGTTGGAAATGTCAAGTACCAGGTAAAATTGTGATGCTCTAAAAATGTATGTATTATTATTTATGTTTCGTAAGAGCGAGAAGATTTTCACTTACACCTCAGCGGGCAGGACATCCCAGCTGGTTATCTGCGCACTAGGAAGTAGTTCTAGGTTAAAAGACACCGCACACTGACGACAGTAGCCCGCTGTTAGTGCCTCTCCACCGGAGTACTTCAGCCGCACCTGTGCTTCTATATGCGGTGAATACTGCGAGCCTAGACTAGAAGGTCCTGCTCCTCCTCCGCCAGCTGGCTGCAGACTTAACGCAGCCAGAGAGGGTTGCCCGCTTGAGAAGGTCGATCTGAAACTGGAATTCTGCGGCTCGTTGCGACGGTGTTGCGGGGAACCGACCCTCGATGGCAAGCTGGCGTGTCCGGAAGTGGAAACATTAGAGTAGTGCGTCAAAGATGCCGCACCATAATCTCCCGCAGCTGCGCTGGAATGCACGGAGGCAGGTGGCTGGGGACAAACGAAATCCGCTTCGGCATAAACATCCACGATAATTTCAATGGAACCTTGAGGAGGCACTGGCAGCTTGGCCTGTAAAATATATTTACATTAACTATGAATTTTATTTCACAGATCTTTTATTACCTTTAATGCCTCTCCATCTATCCGGAAGATCTTTTTCTGCAGTTCCTGCTCCACATTCGAGTTGATGGAAACCTCCAAGTGCTCCAGCGGCAACGTTGTGCTTTCATTCGTGATCGTTATAGTGCAGCTAGAGGATTCCCCGTTGTACAGAGTCAAGCTGGCCGAGGTCACCACAATATCCGCACTGTTCATGTTGCTAAACGTTGCGGTTTGCGGCAGAGAAGTTTTTACGGATATCCTCGGGAGGGCAGGAATCACATCCACCAGATAATTAGGCGGAAAGCTTCGCCCGCGCATGTGTTTCAGCCGACAGTTGGACTTAACGCCAAGCGTGTGAGTGCTGTAGCCCTGCAGATCCAACTGGCCAGTTTCAATGGGCGTTCCATGAAGCGCGACATAAGTGGGCACATGTGGCTGGAGGACAATAGTCTGGGGCAGAGACTCAAAGACCACACCATTCGTGAGCAATCTCATGTCTGTAACGGCCAGCTCAAATGGAAGAGGATTGCGCAGGCGCACAGTGACCTCACTGAGGTCATTTTGCACCCACTGGAAAGCTAAAATATATACATTTTAGTAGGGTAAAATATTTATATAATGCATATGCTTACCTATTTTATTTTTGTCCTTTTTCTTATCCCTTCTGTCGACCGAATTGAAGTGTATGGGAGTAAACAAAAAAGGACCACTGTCCGCCTTGGCCACCTTTATTCTCAATGGTCGCAGATGGGCGGGCAAATCTTTAACCTGAAGATCAAGGCAGTAGGGCAAGTCCGTGAGATTGGCGGGCGGTATCACAGTGCCATTTTCCAGCACCAAGGGTACAGGTGAACCTTCGCACTGGGCGCTTAAATTCTGTAAGAGATTATACATTAAATCAAAACTCTTCTTTGTGCTTAGGGTAAGTTACCTGCAGTTGCACAGCCATCTCGCTTTGCTCCGTGGGCGACATGTTATCCCACTGGGTCTGCAGCAGGAAGGTCATGTGCCGCGTTGCCAAAGCAGAGTGACCCAGTCTCCTGGCGGCGGTTATAAGGGTCTGAACCAGATCGATCTGCAGCGCCGGCCAGCCGGCGGCATTCTCCAGCACCTCCAGGGGATCTAGACAAAGCAAATATCCCGTAAAGCTGCCCAACATGAGGCGATAGCTCTGATTCCAGTCGGGTGCCTGGCTTCCCTGCTGCACGTGTTTGAGCGCAGCAAGTCGCTGGAAAAACGCCGCCTTCCTTTGGTAGCCGATCTGCTGATACAGCTCCGTGATGATCTCGAATCTCTTCACCCGCTCTGCCTCGGTCATGCTCAGGTTTATGTACAGGATATTTTGCAGGAACATTGCCACATCGAGAGGTCGATTCTGCTCAATGCAAATTCGTGAGGCTTTCAAAGCAGCCTCCGTTTCAATGGTGGCTGCATGCCTGTATTTGCTGTAGTTAATGATGGCCTTGCGATAGTAGTTGGTGATCTCCTCCGCCTTGAGTATGTTCCCCGGCAGATCACCGTTTCTTTGGTGTCCTGGTATCGGAGCTGCCGATATCGTCGAAGTGGATGAGGACGAGGTTGTCGGCGTGTCCGAAGCGGAGGAATTGGTGGCGGTGGTCACCAGGGAAGACACTGATGAGCAGGAAGATGAATTCGAGGTCATGCGCTGCTGCTGCTGTTGCTGTGCGGAATCCACATTGTTCGCAGTGGTTTCACTGGCGCTTATTTTCTTGGTGGCATCGCTGGCTCGCCACTTTTCAGGAGTGTTCTTTAATGGGGAGGTTCCTGCAATAAGAATAGTGATAAGTAAGGGCAGTAATCAAGTATTCCTCCTACTTACCCGCCTCCTGAAGCGAAGAGTTCCTGTGCAGCGTTTCGATCTCTCGCATTTGGGGATACAACAGCATCGCGGAGGCGGCAACCAGACCCTCCTCGGTGGCCCCCACCCACAGGGAGTCGCCAACCGACCTCAAGGTTTCATTTGCATTGTGGTACAAACTCAGAGCATCATCCACTAATCCTGCTTGGAGCGACAGATCCGCCAGGTTTTTCATCACACGACCCACGCATCTTTTCCTGTTGTTTCTGGACTCCATGTCCAAGCCCACAAAGTCGCGCTTTTCGAAGGGCGCCAGCAGTAGGCTCACCTTGTCCGCTTTCTCACGAGATCGTTCCAATCGTCGCGATTCCAGGACCCAAAACAAAGCACTGGCGAAGTCCCCGATCCGAGATTCCAGATCCACACAAGGATCCTGTTCGCGATAAAAGAAGGCTTGCGATTTGAAGTTCGAGGGCGTCGTAAACTCATCCTGAAGACGACGTCCTCCGGCTGGCGGCGGTGCTACTACCTCGCCAATCGTTTCCAGCGGTGGTTCATCGGGACCAAAAAAAATGGCACGGGATTCGTAGAGGGTAGAGCCATAGCGAACTTTCAGGGACTCGTGCTGACGGCACAGCTCGTTGAGTTCGGTTTGGTTGTCGAATTTGCCAATGGTAACGAGTCCCAAAAGGCGACGATGGGTCTGAAAGTCTCCCCAATCGTTGTGCTCCACGGGATGATCGTGAACAAAGCGAATCCATATGGAGCGTGGATTGCCAGAGGAATCTGTGAAGCAAAATAGGGTTAATTACAAAGGACGGGAAAGGATTTAGGGGAATACCCACCGTTCACCCGAATGTGGTTGACACGTCGCACTTTTTCGAACGCCCGCTGGAGGATGCGGGCCCGCGATGGTCCCACGCCACGGAGCAGCACCAGAAGGCAGCTGTGGTGCAGTGCGCTCTGTTCGTAGTCCGGCCGGGACATCGCTGGCTCCACGACACCACCACCGTGCGACAGCATCAGGCCAACGGCCGCACGCATTTACACCGCGCCGCGGCTCCTTGACGCAATCCCAATCCCAGTCTGGAACGCGATCCCAGCTGATTTTGCATCTGCCGCGTAGATTAGTGCTTTTCCATTGTGCCTGTCAAGTGGTCGAGATCGCTTTTCGATTCGATTTCTTCAAGGGAACCCACTTCCTCCCCCTTTTCTTGGTCACTGTGTCGCCTGCTTTCACCTCGCTTTTCGACTGGTTTTTTACGTTGCTTCTTGGCTCACTGGCCGCTTTTGCATAAAGCCGGGTACTGGGCACTCGGGGGACCTCGAAAATCCCAGGAAGTCGTTATGTAAAAAGCTTTTATAGCGCAGAAATCCGTTTGGCAGTTTGCTTTTGGCAAAGAAATTGTCCAATCAGTGCCTGTCGACTAGTCGCTGTGAATGTTAATCGCACAGATTGACGAGCGACAGGGCCACACTAACCGATAAGAGCAGTGTTGCTAAGCGCATTCGGTTTTAGGTGGATGCATTAAAATTGAAAAATAGAATGTTGGTTTTCTTATTGACAATCTTAGCATTTAATTATTTATTAATTATTTTTAATTAAAAATTTTCTATAATATTTTCCTTCTGCAGTTTCCCCGATATTTCGGTGTTTTGGTTACACTGGTGTCAGTCGACCAATTTGAATGGCAAGGCCCTAACAATCACATTTTGCCGCTTTATTGTTTATTTTTTGCATCCTTTTTATTGTTATTCAAACAATGAATTTACTACCCAAAACACGCGAAGAATTCGCGCAGACGGATTACTGGAACGAGTTCTTTAAAAAGCGGGGTGAAAAGGCCTTCGAGTGGTATGTATATGGCCAATTTAAAAGACCGGACTTTTTATGGAACGGGAACATCATGCAACATGTGTTTTTTGCTAAACTTTTTATATTATTATTATGTTATTATGTTATATTAATTTTTAAGGTATGGCGAATATCTGGAGTTGTGCGACCAGATCCACAAATATATAAAGCCGGTGGACAAAATTTTGATGCTGGGATGTGGTAATTCTAAACTGAGTATGGATATGTACGACAGCGGGTTCAGGTAAGGATTAAGTTGCATTTTTAAAACATTTAATAACTTAATTAATTTATTTTTTTAAGGGAAATCACAAACATTGATATTTCCCCGATCGCAGTAAAGAAAATGTTGGAATTGAATGCCAAAACCCGTCCAGATATGAAGTTCCTGCAAATGGATGCCACAGCCATGACTTTTCCCGATGAAAGCTTTTCAGTATCTTTGGATAAGGGAACATTGGATGCTCTGTTTGTGGATGATACCCCCGAAACAAAACTAGTGGTTGAAAACTACTTTAAGGAGATACTAAGGACCATGCGGTGGGTAGTCTGAAATTTCTATTATTATGTGTTTTTTAATTTTATGTATGTTGTAGCAATGGAGGTCGCTATGTTGGCATTTCCTTGCTGCAAGAGCACATCTTAAAGTTCCTGCTGGAGTTCCTGCCCAAACACAATTGCATGCTGAGAATTGTCCACTGTTCGGGAGTGGAACAGGCTAACAAGGAGAAGAACGCCGATGATGCCTTAACACTGCCAGTTTTCGTAGTCGTTGCCACCAAATTCAAGAGTCTTCCGATGCCTGTAAATAGCATTTTAAAACTGGAATATTGACTCCTTAATTAAATTATAATTTTTTGCAATTTTTAGGTTCTTGAATTCGGTTTCGGAAACGATAAGATGCAGAGATTTACCGCAGTCTCAGAACTAAATAATGCAGTATCCTCTGTCCAAAAAGCAGCTTTGGTCTGCAACGGTTTGTCCAGATCCAATATAGCTGGTCACAACGAAGTAATCATGGATCTCCACCGACCGTCGGAGCAAACCCCTCGTTATACGATCCACATACTAGACAAGCCGCCGGCAAGAGGTTTGGGCAAATATGCTGCGTTTATTGTTCCTCAGGGAAGAGAGGTGGAGTGGCTTTTTGCCACGCCTGTTGGGCGAAAGAAGCTCCAGGACTCCGCAAACTACCAGCGACTGGCTGTGGTTACCCTCCATCGTGATCAGGTTTATAGTACCTTGGACGAAGTTAAACTAGAGTTGGCCGACAGCATAAAGAACCTATCACCAGCTGGACTTAATGAACAGATACCTTATCTTTCTCTTGGATCCGATGTGGGCAAAAGAGAGACCCTTATTTGTGGTTTCTCAAAAATATCTGGAGATTTTCGAATCGAAGAGGTGGAGGCAAATGGCAAAACCCTGCGTCGTCTTATTTTCCTCAGTAATCAGTTTGTTGTCCAGTCTGAAGCTTTGGTCAAAACAGGTAACTAAGGTATATGTTTAATTAAATAGTTTTATTTAAATTTATTTTTTATTTCAGTTAAAATTAAAGGCAAAAAGGAACGCAAGAAGATTGATTTTGGATACTTGGCATGCCAGCATCATTTGTACATGTCCGTTGGTGTCCAATTAGCCACAACGCTGCAGAATCCCAAGAAGGATGTCGAAAAGGATGTACTGGTTATTGGCTTGGGAGGCGGTGGCCTTTGCAGCTTTCTTCATGCTGCGCTGCCGTAGGTTTAAATCCAGATTTTAAAGTATATTTTTATCAATTTTATTTTCCTACCCAGTCAAGCTAGAATTACGGCTGTGGAAATCGATCCAATCATGTTGGAGGTGGCTGAGCAATATTTTGAGCTCAAGCAGGATAAACGATTTCATGTGGTTATTGATGATGGTCTGGATTTCGTAGAACGCTGCCGCAATGAAGGTGATATGGCTTTGTTTAAATATATATGAATGTTTTACTATATAATTTCCTTTCTCAGATATACACTTCGATGCGGTTTTGTTCGATGTGGACAGCAAAGATCTCAGTCTGGGCATGAGTTGCCCGCCCCAAAGTTTCCTAGCCAACAAAATATTGCAGGACATTAAGGCTATTATTGGACCCAAAGGACTTTTTATGCTCAATCTTGTTTGTCGCGATGAAAGCCTTCGCACTGAAGCCCTCGACAATCTGCAAAAAGTTTTCCCGGCTGTGTGCACCTACAAATTAGACGAAGACATCAACGAGATTATATACTGTGCCAACGATGATAAGTACAAATCTGTCGAACAGTGGAAGAAGAGTCTGGGCACCGCCGGCCGAGGATTGAATAGTGCCGTCAGGGAAACGAAATTGGCCAGCGAGGATGCCCTCGAGGTAGCCGAGTTTCTGAGCGAGTTGAAAATATAACCCCGATGTAGTTATAAATATAGCAAAGACAATTTACGTTTTTAAATAAATGTTAATTGTATTTAGTTATAAATAAAGGCTAAACTATTAACTAATTGTATGTATAAATTGCTAAGAATAACAAACTAAATGTGTGGCAATAATTTGCAAATGTTTCGTTCATCACTTAAAGTACATAATCGTGGGATCGGGCGAATATAGCAAGAATGACGAGCTTGGAATATACGTACACAATTAACCTAGGCTGGTTTAAGCTACGCAAGCAAGCACACTACAAAATATATAAGTACTATACTTAAATTTGTTGTTTTTCGCTTAACAGTCATTTGCATGTCACTGCAACACAAAAGGAACTCTCACTTTTCACTTCACTTCTCGGGCCTTCCAAAATCCTCAAAATATAACAACTCGTTTGTACAAACAATTTATCGAACCTCCGAACGAACCAACTGGGGTCCATTTGAATCAATAAGAATAATTATTCTTTGCGCAGATATAAAAACGTTACCTAAATAGAAACACTGGGTTTTCTTAACTAAAAATCAAAGGCTTTGCGAAAGAGGTTGTTGAGAGCGCGCTGTTTCTTCTTGGTGGTCGATGAGGTGGTGCTGCCACCACTGCCACTTCCGCTGCTGCTGCTCGCCAGACCAACCGACGTTGCATTGCCATTCCCATTCGGGGTGATGCGTCCCTCCCCGGAGGACAGAATGGCCTCGCCCAGTATCCGAAAGGAATTCTGCGTGGCGGTGTTCGTGTTGAGGGGAAAATTGACCTCCGACAGCGATGAGCTGTCCAAACTTGCGCTGGGCAAGCTCTTGGAGGCGAGCTTCGCCTGCTGTTGCTGCTTCTCGCCGCGCTTCAGCCGGTACCACTCCCAGGATGTGGGCTCGTGCACCGAGTGGCTGTTCTTGATGCCGTTGAAGCTGTAGCCCTTGTTTTTGCTCTTGCTAAATGGCGACTTGAAGAATGCTGGCGAGGACAGCCTTCGCGACTTCTTTGTCCCCTGCTCTTTGCCCGTCTTCCCATCCACTGTGTCCAGTATTTGGTAGCCCGAAGGTCCTTCGGGCATGAATTCGTTGTAGGCCAGATCGCTGGTGGGTATAAAGTTGGCCAGATCGTCGTCGTCCAGCATCAGGCTCTCGTCGAAATCGCTTTGCGTGGCTGGCTCTTCGGCTAGCTGATCCTGCGTGATGCTGGCTGGCGCGGATTCCTGGCGCTTAAGCGCCATTTGCTGCAGCTGCTGATGGGATTTCTTTTTGCCTGCTTTGTTGGAACTCTGCTTAATGCTTTTGAGGGTGTCTGAAAGGGAATAACTTGATAATACCTTGCTTTAATCGAGGATTTCCCTATCCAGTACTCACCCACATCAAAGAACTTATCCGTTTGCTCGCCACAGGTCGTCTCAGTGGTGTCCAGGCTGTTGTGCCAGGAGTGCTTGGCTCCCTTGCGCCGGTGCAGGGAATTCCGGACACCATTTCCACCGCCATTCGTAGTGGCACTTAGCATATTGGCTGCTATGTTATTGTTGCTGCCATAGCAAACGGATATCTTGCGCTGCCTGTTCGGAGGATCCTGCTCCTGCAAGTTGCTGTCACCGCACTCCTTCAGAATCAGCATGGCCTCCTCGCTGGGACGCCGTTGCTTTGGCGTCGTTTGATTCGACGACATCTGTTCGTAGGACTTGCGGCGATCGAGCTTAGGTTTGCTGGCCACAGGTGGATTGCCACCTGGCTGATCCTTCTTCTGCAGCAACTGCTGCTGCTGGCGGCGCAGCTTGCGATAGTAGACGGTGCCCAGGACGAGCATGAGGAAGATGCCGGTGCCCACGATGATGATGACCAGGATGCAGGCCTGCACTTGGTAGGACAGCGCTCTCACCTCGCCGGCCAGCTCCGCGCTCTGCTGCTGGTAGAGCTGCTCCTGCTCCACATACCGCCGGCTCTGGTCCTCCAGCTGGCGCACCGTCAGCGTCTGTTGCGTCAGCGTCTGCTGCAGCTCCTCCACCTGCTTCTTGTAGCGCCGCGATAGCTCCTCCAGGTATTGTCCCGACAGCGACATGTTCCGTTCGAGCGCCTGCGGAAGACAAAACACAAAAAGCGTCGTCCGACGACGAGTTGTTAGCAATTGTTGTAGGAGGAACACTGAGAGAAATATGAGCAGATATTGCTATATCAAATATTCTGCCAGCAAAACTATTTCAACAAAACTATATAAAATGTATTTCAATTCATATAATTACTTCAGATGTATTTTAAGAGTTTTTATGCCCTAATATCATTTTAATTAAAAGCTGTTATAGTGCCATATTTGTAGTATTTATAATTAGTTATATTTCTATTTTTATAGGGGGTTTTTAATTTATTTAATTTATGATTTCTTTAATTTATTTAATTTATGATTTCTTTAATTTAGTTTTTTCTTTGTGCAGATTTAATATGGCTTCAAATGGATTCGCATATGTATATTGATGACGTCGGTCGGCAAGGTAGCGAATTGGCTGGCAGAACTGTTACAAGGATGAACCACCGCACAATCCTTGGGCGGTGTCCAAAACGGGAAGTGGCTGCCGCTTGTAATGAGCAGCCAGCACGCAAGTTGACTATAAACAACTCACGAAAAATTGGGTGCAGAAAGACGAATGGGTAATACCCTTAAAAAGTTAACTTTGGTTCAACCAACACTTCTTTCAAGACTAAGTTTAATATTGGTTATAATTATACCATTTAAAAGGATTAGAAATTATACACTCAATTATAATATTTATGTAAATCCTATTTTAAAGAGTATAAAGAATAGTTTCATAAAAAAATCCTTTAAAAAGAAAACGTATTCCATCTCTTTGATGAATAATTCTGCTAACACCCGGTTATAAGTACAATTACATGATTCCTTGCAAGTGTATAATTTAGCCCCAGTCTTCCTGCCCCCCACTTCATCCTGCGTGGGCGGTTGCCTAGCTCTTCTAGTTTGCCTGTTTGTTGGTTTCTGTATTTCTAGCTACGCCAACTGATGACGCACACAAATGGGCGGAAACCCACTCGAAAGGGAAGCTTGGAGCACTCACCTTTATGCGATTCGATAGCCTGATGAACACACTCTCCGACTGGGCGCCATTGGTTAGCTTCTGCTGTAGATTCACACCGGATCCGGTGACCGGAACTCCTGCTCCAGTGGCGCCTGCCACTCCAAGATTGCCGTTGCCGTTAACCACAGCGGCTGCAGCGGCAGCTGCTCCTCCGCCAGCGGTAATCGAGGCCACTGTGGTGGTCAGCAGATTGTCAATACTCTCCCAGTTGGCCGGATTACCCTCCTCGATGGCCAGGTCATTGGCTGCAGCTTCACTGGATGATAGTGGCGCATTGGTGGTTGGTGCATTGATGGTCGACTCCACATCGCTGGGCTCCAAAGTTGTCGCTATTGTGGGTTCCGGAGGAAGCTGCACTTTGACCACCACTTCCTCGGCTTCGGCAGGCACATTGAATATGTTCACATCGGCTGGCGTGGAGTTTGTGGTGGAAACGGTTTCACTGGAGGCCGCCGACTGGTCTTCCATTGAAGGCACTTCTTTGCTGGATTCGGTCACCACAACCTCGAGACTTGGAGTTGGCGGTTCCTTCTCGGGGATTCTCTTCGTTGGACTCTCCTTGCTTCCCTCACAATCTTGACGAACTCCCGTAGCTGTGGCATTATCCTGCAGCTGCTCCGGTGGACTCACTTGGTGCTTCATGGCTGGCGGCTTCGATTGCAGTTGATCGGTGACATTCTGCTCCGCCTGGATAACCTTGCACATGGCTCCAATGTGTTCCGCTGGCAGCATGCTGAGAAAATAGCTCTGCTGCTTGCCCATTTTACTCGAGAACTCTGAACCGATTAAGCTTATGCCGAACTCCTCCTGGCACACGCGACTCTGGAGGAGATCTGTCCTCAAACGGCTGAGGCTGAGGAGCAGCTGAAGCTGCTGGAACTGGCAGGACAACAGGCTGTTGATCTTCTCCACCAAGGTGCTGTTGCAATTGCTGCAGCTGTAGGCTCCAAAGGCGGGCGTTTGGCAGAGCAGCGACTCCGCTGACCATTTCAGAGCCTTTGTGGGCTTCACCAGCACTTCGGCTGCCTTTTTCACCATCTGCATGACCGCATCCGAGGCGCTCTGGAAGATGTTGCCACCACTGCCCACCGTTGCCTTCTGTTCCTGCGCTCCGTAGTCATCGTAGAAGTCATCCAGATCATCGCTGGGTCGAATTTCCGTTTCGAAAGCCTCGTATTCGGAGGTGCCAAACACTCGGAACAGCGAGAGTGGGCAGAAGTGCTCCTTGGCATAGTGCGAGCTGATCTCCACGCGCACGAATTTCCCAAACAGATAGGGATGCAGTTCAAAGGTCTGAACGGTTCGCTTGTCCTCGGCCGCAAAGCGACCCACATTGCTCCACTCTCGTGTGGGAAATCGCTTCGAAACGGCAACCGTGAAGTTTTTCGGCGACGAACTGAACAGCTCAAAGTTGGCCATGTCCACCTTCTGCGCCTGAATGGCCTCGCACAGCTCCACGACGAACCAGATTCGATTCTCGCAGGTGCTCAGCATGTACTCATCCTTGGACTGGGTGAGCACATGTTCCGGATGATTCGATTCGGCGTTGTGGGTGATGATCTTAGCTCCGCAATCGGGCGAAGCGTAGTTCTTGGAGCGCAGCTTCAATGTCGGCGGCTTTCCACTCGACGATCCAGTGTTGTTCCTGCGCTGCGCCGAGTTGTTCACCACCTGTTGCTCGAGCTCCATGGCCTGTTCCCGGCTGGCCTCCGCCTCCATTTGCTTTTGCGCCCACTCGGAGAACACGGGCATGGGCACCTCCTCGTTGCCATTCGTCAGATTGGCCGTGGCCTCTGTGTCGTTGGCTGCCGGGGATCCCGGCGATCCTCCCGCTGGCTGCAGCTCCTCACTCGTATCGTTGCCTTCGCCAGACGAAGTAGCTTCCTGTGTGGCTAAGCCATCCGATTCGATGCCTCCTCCGGGATCGTTTATCTTCGGCATTTGCTCATCTGAAACAATTAATATACGTAAGGTTTTTAATTAGATTTGTTCGAATATTATTTCTATTTGAATAGTTAGAATAATGTGTCGAATAATTAGTCTTATCCAAAAGCTCTATGTACAATATCTATTTAAATTCAAAGGCACGAAATATATTGTGGATGCTATTCATCATATTAGTTTGAAAACCTGTATAATTTCTTAGCTGTTTTTAAATTACAATAATAATTAATATATTAAATATTCATAAATAATATTACTTGTTATTCAAGTTATTTTAAATCTTACCCTTTTGAGGCACTTCCTTGTCAGCCTCAAATAATTTCTGAGGCGGATCCTGATGAGTGGGCTGCTGTTGATCTGGCTCCTCATCACTGTGGTTTCCCGCTGCCAGCTGGGAATCTTCCAGGATTATCGACTCCAAGCGGTGCTTCACTCGATCCAGAGGCAGCTCAGTGACTGTGACAGTCGGCAGCTCCGTAATAATCTCTGGAAAGCTAAATCAAAGTTGTGAAATTAATATCAAAACATAAAAATAAATCTTCAGAGTTCTGTATTTATAATACATGAAATATATAAAAGAATAATATCCCACCTCATAAACACCGTTGATATGGCTATTATTTGCGAGAACCATATAATCCAGAAGAATATTAGAAACATGGTCAGGTTTGTTTTCAGCTTTTTCAACTCACAACAAATGAACTTCATAACGAATTGTAGCAGCATTTTTCTTACAATCAATTTTTTTGGGGCTCTAATTGCGGGCGATAATCAATTTGTTTAAATACGTATTGGTCGTTGATCAAACAACCACAGCTGTGACCCTGCTATAGATTTAATATCTCACTCGCCTGTATCCGCGCAGCAAGTGAAAACCGAGATACCAGCCACGTTGGAATTCTATCCAGCTGATTGCCGAGAAGCAAATATCTAGAGCAAGCCATAATACTCGACTGACTGAGGTGCAAAGTATGTAAATATGGAAACAAAAACTCGCACTCACAATGAGAACGTTTTGTTTTCACTTTTTTTTGTACGATTGAACTCGTAACAGCTGTGAAAAACTTCAGCATGAGGGGAACTTTAAAAGGGGGAGGCAGAAAAATAAAGCCAGACATCATTTAGAGATCTCGAGATGTCGATTAGCACTCGTGATATCGCATATTTATGAGTCGACTTGTATTTAATGGGAATTATTTTAATTATTCTGGGGAATTCACAGTTCAAAGAGCTCTCCAATCTGAGAAGCCAAATTTCAAGACAACAAGATTATAAATAGAAAAATAATTTCCCAATTTTGTCATTTTCGGTGGCTGCAGTTTTGCAAAAATAAATTTTCCAATTATGTTGAATATTTGTGTAAAAATGATTTTAAGATGCTCGTGTCAGAAAATATCTGACAGACCAAATGTAAAAGCCATCAAACTAATTAACCAGACTGAAAAACATTGTGCATCATACTCTATATATGCCATTCAAGGAAATCTGCGTGAGAACTGAAATTGTGTCAAAAAGGTGATTTTCAAAATATTTTGGGGGCGTTGACAGTTTATAAATAAATTGATCAAATTATGTCAAGTTGAAAACGCGATAAGTGTAATTAATTTTGGTTGCGATAGCCAAAATATACTCGTCGTTCAATGTTTTACGAAATTTCTTGGTCACTGACCGCTTTAAACAATTCTTTTTTTTGGCGATGTTACGGGCTTGAATAAATTCTGTATATGTATATAGTAGCTTTATTGCATTCATATATTATGTCATGGCTGCAGCTCTATTGTTGCCTATAAAACCGCATGCACTTGCGATTTCCTGCTTCTTTATCCAAGAGATTAATACGCAATCAGATTACTTTCTTTTCTTTCTTTTGGTTTTCCCATTTCCGTCACAAGAATAAAATGTGGATTTGGTATAAGAGAAATTATTTATCCGATGAAAACGTATTTGCACAGTCTGTTTTTATCTAGACAGTATTGTCTTATAATTCCTATAGACTTATGTGCTTAGTATAATTTTTATTTTAAATGCCCCACTTTATTTGGTTTTTAAGTGGATTTTTAAATTTAAAATGGGACGTCAAAACTCTGCACAGTTTGTTTAATTTTGCATTTATACAAATTGTTTTATTGGTCAACAATTTGTCACTAAGTAAGACAGAAATAAATGGTTTTGCCAACAAATCAATCATTGCAATGTGAGCAACTATTTTGCCCAAATACACAATAAACACGAACTCGAGAGAACAGAAAATAGTTTTAACAACAATGCGCTTTTGACATAATAAAAGAGCAAAGCAAAAATCACAAATGCAATTGAAATGTAAGTAACTGACCTAAGCAAATAAAAAGTGTTGAGTGGGTAACATTTTGTATCCTCAATTGGGTATTATGTATTACTATTTGTTAAAAGGTTTACAAAGGTAGTAATTAATAGAAAAGATGATGCTTGATATTTGCTTATAAGAAAGAGTTTCTTGGGAAGTTTTCTTCGTGGATTTATCTGTTGTTAAACTATATTTCGAACATTTTTTGAGATACATCGGCATCTCGTCTTCATCTCATCTCAAATCCTACGGACCGGAAACTTGAGCTGACAGCTGGTAGAGAAAAAATTAAACTTTTGAGTGGTCTTGGCCCACCTCGAATCTCTCAAAGCGTCACGAAGCAAAGAGGTTCGTAAAAAGTGAGAAAAGGCATTTCGAGGAGCGACATGCAACAATTAGCGCACATTCGTATGCATTTTTATTACATAATAAACCAGAGAGTGTCTATCTACTGGCAAGCAGCTTACTTAGCTCATTTCGCAGTTGTTTCGTTTAAAGATCCCAAGCTAATTAACCGAAAATTGCAACGGTTAGTTCCTCTTTCTCCGGGTTGCAGGAAAAGTGTATCAAATAGGTGCTATACCAACGTGTTAAATGTGTCCAATTCGCCAACTAAAAAAAGGGGGCGAGAGACTATCCTATTTCCAGCCGGGCCAACATATGTAAATGCACCTCTTATAGCCAAGTATTCTATAATAATTATTGGCTTGCACCGCGAGGCATGTCAAAAACGCCCACAATCCGCCAAATTCGCAAGTCCCCAAGAAGGAAAACTCCCCAGCTGGCTGGGCTTATACATACCATATATATTTATTACTTGTCTGAACAACAACGCAAACGCAAAGTAAAGTATTCAAACTGTCTGCCTGGGCAGTAAGTCAAGCCATGAAAGGCATTTTGGGTTAACCTGGCCGTTCCGGCAGTTGCGTTTTTCTTGACTACATATTTTTTTTTTTTTTTTTTTTGGATTCGCCAACTTGTCTACACGTTTGTCAGGAATTTCTGGCTTTTCTTTTCGGCTCAATTTTGAACAAATTAATAAATGCAAAATATTCCAGCAACTATGTGAAAATTGCTTCAGTTTTTCAGCGTGTGAAAAGTGAAAAGATTTTATTGGGGCAGCACTTTGGAGGAACTCTCGCTGATATTTCTGGGTGAAAATTTTAACAAGGAACTGCAGGCTATGTTATAATTTGAAATTCCTAAGATACACTTGTAGTCTGCAAAATATTCTGTAAAATTTTAATTACTTTTTTAGGAGGTATACTAAAAATGTTTGAAAACATAAGGTGATAATAAAAAATAAAATAAAAGATCCTTACTATGAAAAATATTTACTAAAATTTAAGAAGTCCGTATGTTAAATCAAAACACAAACGCTAGAGCCAAAGATTGTGCATAATTATGATTGCAGTTTTCAAAAAATATAAATCTTTATATGTCTGGACTGCAGCCAAGTAGTATAAATCGTTATTCTCGGGCAGCATTGAAATACCTCACGCACATAAAATCGCAGAAAATCGCAAGCACATATTTTCGAATGTGGGAGTGTTTACCCGTTTACAATTATTATAGATAGACTATCTAGTATTTGTTCCCCACAAACCTTGCGACTTATTTTGGCTCTCCATCAAATTTGCACAACTTTAAGTGGCTACAAATAGTGATTTGATGGACAAACTAAATTATAAGCATTTGGTGGCGGTTAGCCTAATGGCCATCCGGTTGGCAGATCAAACATTAACTGAGCAAAAACCCCAATCAATATTGCCACTTGGCAAACAGAAGGTGTTGGCGGAAATCATTGCAATTAAGAGCTATTATTCATATTTACTCGATCGATATGCGAAATCAATTTTAGTTAGACTAGTTTAAAAGGATTTTAAACACGAAACATGGATAGTTTTTAAGGATAACAGCTGTGATTTTTGATAGGTAGTTGCAAGTCCTTTAAATGTTTTTTCTTTTGATTATACCATACAGAGAAAAAATATAATAATTTTCCTAGACATCAAAGTCAGGCTTATGAGTTTGGATATAGAACGGAAATTTTTTATTTAATACAATATTGTTTATTTGTTTATTTATATGTTATATTTTCTCTCTGAAACGGCATTTACTTGATATTTCCAAATTAAATCAAGTGTTTTGTGAAAAAGTGCACTGCAGGCACCTCCACACACACACACACACGCGATAGCGTTTGTTAAGAAGGATAACAAGGACTCTATATAGTAGATTCGACTCCGATTCGCGATCCCAAACACCCAACGACGGGAGGATGAGGATGAGGTGGCACCACCGGCGAGGTAGCGGAGCGCACGATCGCACCACTGGAAATCGAAATGAGAACTGAACGTATTACGGAGTCGGCTCTAGGTAATTGTGGTCCAAGTGTGCAGATATATTTGCCGCCATATCTCGGAGAGCCAAAGCCAAACAAGCTCAAGCTCCCCGAGACATCGGGAGAGTCGGAAAGAGAGCATTACCTCAGCAAAACTGAGACACCAGCATCGCCATCGCCATCGCCATCGACACCGACATCTCGCAATCATCTTGCACTTGCAGCTGAGAAGCTGCACTCACTTGCGGCATCGACTGCATTTTACCGGCAAACTTGTCGCACAGCTTCCCCTCTTCTCCATCGCCCAAAAGAAAATCCAAATTGATGGCCAGAAAGGAAAGCCCCTAAAAGTGCCAAAGCTTCAAATGCGCTCAGGTGCGAGTAGATCATTTTTCAAAGGCACCTTCTTGTGGGAGTTATATAAAAGCACGAAGGAGATATAATATATAGTCAGTAAAAATAATAATTCGCCATGCATTTATATTTTAAAGGCCACTCTTGTTTAACTAACTATTTATTTGGTTGTCGGTTTCAGTAAATTTAATTGGTTTGGTTCGCAAATGCCAAAAACATTAAAACTTTTTTATTTTCAATTAGTTTTGAACGAAATGCCATGAAATGCATCCCCTTTTCGAGTCATTTTCATTGGTTGAATTGAGATGGGCAGTTAAAAAAAGCTTATGAAATAATAATAACTTATGCGAAAGTCACTTAAAATTTTATTTTCATTTTGCAAGGAGCTCAAGGCTTTCCACCCACCACGAAGCGCTGGAAAAAAGATTTCCTTTGCGCAGTCGCAGCATTTTCCCATTTCCCACATTTTTGTG